AAACGTCGGTTTCAATGGTGCCAGCAGCACAAATCCTGGGCTGTGGACAGAGTGAAGCATGTATTGTTCTCTGATGAGTCCACCTTCACTGTCTTTCCCATATACGGAGAGTTACAGTGTGGAGAAGCCCCAAAGAGGCTTTCCCCCAGGACTGTGTACCCAGATTGTCCAACCCCTGTATGTATACACGAGGAACACATGGACAATTTGTACCTTTGATGGGACAATTACTTGTCACTAGGGCTATGCCATCAAGGGTCTGCCAATTGTACCTTAGGGGTGAGCGGTACACTGGTATTATAGTAATTACCGGTCTGATTGTCTGCCATGATGTGGATTTACACTATACCTTAACACTGCAATAATTCAACATTTTAATTATACTTATAAAAAAATATTTCAATTAATTTAAATTAATTTATAAAAAATAAAGCATTTCAATTTCTTCAAAGCTTCATTTGTAATCAAAATACTTGTCTTTAAATAGTATCTGTAACTGGTTTTCTGCGTTGTGTGAATTTACTATTAAACACACTCAGACGCAGTGACGCGATAGCAAATTAAGATTTTTTTTTTTTTTAAAGTATGTAATTATACACATGAAATAAAATAACCTGGTTACATATATAGTAGCAAATTCAAAAGTAAAACATATTCGCAAAATCAGCATATACATATATGCGCTGAAGCCATAATGCAAGTTGCGTGGTAAAAGGCACAACTACCCAATAAACACTAGAACTGCCTGTTTCCCATGCTAATGAACATCAAACACCAAGCAAAGATGTACTTCGGCGTATGTAGCCCTTTTGCCTGTGCTGGACAACAGCAGCGAATATAGCCGTAATGTTCCTAATAGAGTGGCTGATCTTGTCTGAAATTGTAAAGCTTAAAAGTTTTCAAATGCAGTATTTTATAAAATGTTGGATAAACATAGTTTATTGGTGATTTCGTGTTCGTCAAAGTTTATATTTTTAACAACTGTATAAAGTTATTTTTATACAAATAATCTCAGGTGAAACAAATTAAAAACCGTAAGTTTTCAGGGTTGCCAACTCACTGTCAGGTCCAGTGCACGAGCAAGGAGTGGGGAAGCAGATTCTGGACATGAGTATCACAAAAACGGGGTTTATTAAGGAAGCAGGGAGCAGCACAGGACAAACGTCAATGACAGACCTGGGGAAACAGACTTGAACGCGGACTAAATACTGGACATGACATCAGAATAAATGCAAGACAGCTGGTGCGCTGGGAATTCACATGAGGGTAACGAGGTGGGCGTGGCACACACGAGGACTGGACACGCAGGTCAAGACAGAACCCCCCCCCCTCCCAAGGCACGCACTCCGGGTGTGCCCCAAGGGGAATGGTGGACAGGAAGAGACCAGCAAAACAGGACCTGAAAAACAAGACAAAAGCATCCGGAGCACAGGGAACAGAACCGAGACACAAAACAATTACGAGGGCAAAAGCCAAGACAACACCTGACACAAGATGGGAAACGCAGCCAGGCAGACCAGGAAGGGAGACACAGGGGAAACACCAATGGAAGGGACAAAAGGACCAGAAGTGAATGGAGGAACCACAGGGGGACGAGCAGCCAAGACAAGAGGGACAGAGGGACAAGGAGCAAACATGGGAGGCACAGAGGGACGAAGAGCAACCATGGGAGGCCAGACGGGAAAGGTCGGGGGACAATGGGGAGCCCAAGGGAACCACAGTGGGCGACGGGCGGCAGCCGGAGGGCACCCCCCGAGCCCCATCCAAGGCGAACGAGGGTGAGCCAGGGGGCAGGGTGGGTGAGACCCAACCTCTGCGTAGGTGTCCCCTCCCCTTTCGGGACACCAACAGGCGGAGACCTGGCTGGGATCCACCGCACTGGGGCGAAGGTGGAGGGGTCAGTCCCCTAAAGGGGCCCAGTGGGGCCATTAGGGAGGTCCCTGAGGGGTCCCACTAGAGCTCCTCCTCCTCCAAGGGGGAAGGAGCAGTGGTCTGACAGTCCGCGACCTCCTCGGGGACTGGGACTGGTGCCGGGGGGACTGGAGCAGGAGAGACAGTGGGCAGAGCCGGGGCCAGAGTGTCAGGTGTGGCCGGAGCCGGAGCGTCGGTGGAGCCGGGACCTCGGGCAGAGCAGCAGGCAGAGCCGGGACCTCGGGCGGAGCAGCAGGCGGCACTGGGACCTCGGGCGGAGCAGCAGGCGGCACTGGGACCTCGGACGGAGCAGCAGGCGGGGCCGCGGCAGGAGCCTTGGCCACAGCAGGAGGCGGGGCCATGGCAGGAGCCTCGCTGGGTGGCGCAACAGTCGCCGGGACAAGCAGGTCGGGAACAGGCGGGTCTTCTGCCGGTCTCTTCTCCTTTCGCTTCTTCTTTCTCCGGCTTGGGGTTGTCAGCAGAGGTGGGGTTCCACCAGAGGGAACCAGCGACTCTGAGCCCCGCTTGCTAGAGCGTTATCGGCTGGAGCCGTCTCTCCGTTACCCGCTCTACCAACTCCCAGAGATTTTCACGCACCTCCGCTATTATGTGCACGTTCCCGGGTGGAGACATCTCTCCTAGGAGGGTCCCGCTCCGGCCGGCTAGATCAAGGGCAACGGGGTCCTCTCGGACCTCGGGTAGATTCAGCCAGTAAATAACTTCCTGTAGCAGACCGAGGTGCTGATCCTCGGTCCGCGGAAGCGTTTCTTATGCGAGGTCTGTCATTCTGTCAGATCCGGTGCACGTGCAGGGAGTGGGGAAGCAGATTCCGGACACGAGTATCATAAAAACAGGGTTTATTAGGGAAGCAGGGAGCAGCACAGGACAAACGTCAATGACAGACCTGGGGAAACAGACTTGAACGCGGACTAAATACCGGACATAACATCAGAATAAATGCAAGACAGCTGGTACACTGGGAATTCACACGAGGGTAACGAGGTGGGCGTGGCACACACGAGGACTGGACGTGCAGGTCATGACACTCACACGCATCAGGCGTGACATTCAAGCTTTCAGACTCACACTCACGCAAGAAATCTTATGGCAAATGTATGTTTTTCCATTATAAGCCTAAAATTAGCGGCATCAAAAGTGTTGGGGTAGTTTGCAAACCCTTGTCTCGAATTGAAAATCTCACTCCAGACAGCTGACCAAAGTTGGCAACCCTGCGTTATATTTGAAATGAACTGTAAAATTCGCAGTTTTTTCGGCTGAAGCAGCTTGTTGCTCCGACAATTCTAAAACAAATATGAGAAAACATAACCTATGTGTCACGCCCACAGGGGCGGGGCATCGCAGTGGCGAGTAATTGCCACTTTACCACACCGTTATTTAAAGCAAAAGCAAACTACCTGACCTAGCAAAGTATTGTTGCCATACCTTTGACCATTACTGAGCATTTCTTTGTCTCATGTCTTCCCCGATTGCCCTGCCTGCCTTGCCGTACCCTGCTGTCTCGCGTGTCCTGCTTCCCTGGTCGTTCCTGCCTCCCTGCTTGTTCCTGCCTGCCTTCCCTGCCTTGTCTTCCCAGTTTGTCTGCAACCTCCGTTCCATCCCATCGTCTCCTCATCCCGTCACTACTCGTAGGACTGATCTCCCCGGCTTTGGACCTCCCGTGATCTTCTGGATTTCCCTTTTGGTTTTGGTTGCACCTGGCATTTGCTCCAATAAACCCTTCTCCTGCATTATGGGGTCTGGCTCTTCCCTGGTTTCGCGATACAACAGTATGACACTTTTTATGTCTTTTTGAAATACGACCATCCATACCCATCTGTAATAGCAATTAAAGTGCTCTTAATATATTATAAAATGTTTTTTAATTTTAAATTTATATAAAGGGACAGGACATGCTGCTCCTCCCAAAACTTGCAAAAATGTAATAACATTATATAATACTGTCGCTGTCCAAAAAGTGAAAAATATCATGGATAATAATTTTAGGTCATATCGCCTACCCTTACCCTAGCTGTAGGTAGATGTGGGTTTTAGTCTAATTTAAAGTACGGAAATGGATTCTGAGGGATATTTTTGTACCACTGGAGGTAAATAATTGTTGCCTGTCCCTTGGGAAACAAAACTGTATTTGTCAGGATCTGTTCCAGCCTTGTCTGTCACGTGCCTGTTGGCCAGTTTGTCACGCCCGATCGTCCGATCCTTCCGTGTGCCATGCCCCCCTCATAAGCCTTATGTGAAATCCCGATATTAACAGGTTGGTGGGAGGGAGTGATAAAGGAGGGGTTTGCCCAGGACGCTACAACCACCACTGGTGGATCGTCTTTTTCATCATGCCCCCCCAAAGCAGTATTCCTGCTTCCATTAGCCATGGAGAACATAGCCTGTGACACTGATGAAGTGCTGTGGCCTGAGGTGATGCAGCCTAATATCCACCCCAACAACCACCCACCACACACACACACACTCCACACCTGCTATTTTTCATGATTTTGGCCTGCTGTTCCAATTGTGCATTAATGGCTATTTGAGCAAGTAGACTTTCACAACAGACTACTTTTCATTCTGTAAGCTTAACACTGAAAAGACAAAATGCAGCAGTAAAGGCAGTGCTGAAAGATTCATTCATATGGTGCATGTGCGCATAATCTTGACAAAATACTGTTCTGAGTCGAATTACAAAGCTTCATTTTCATGTCTTTGCAAGAGGTGTGACTGCCTTTTGCTCTTTGTATTGTGTCAGTTTGTGTGTGTGGAGTTTTGAGACAACGACTTTCAAAAAATGTATGTAAACAATTGTAAAATCGGTAAACATTTGATCAAACTTACGAAACATTACCTGGAGGGTAATTTGGATCATTACTCAACTTTTAAACAAACATGTTTAAACAATCATAATCCAAATATTGTATGGAAATAAAAGTTTAAAATTCATCATAATCATCAACATTATTATTATTATTATTAACAGAGAGAAAACGACTAAACGTACTAAACAAAAGAATGCTTCAGCAAAGCTCTGCATAAACACTTTGGATAAGAAGTGCTATTATTTATTGTTAACAATAAATTCCGTGTTGGGGAGCTGTTCACGTAGGCGTGGGCTCCTGGAGTCAGCGAAATTATAATCATAAATTCGAATGACGGGGCGGAGATACCTCCATCTGCCGGAGTCTTTATGAAGGAGCTGAAACCATCTAGGTCGAGCAGATAGTCGAGAAAAAGCGCCGCCGTGCCGAGGGACCACGAGCCGCGGTGCGCTACCCGGCGCGACGCTAAAAGGTACGTCGGATACCTCCATACAGCAAGCAGAGGATGCATTTACAGTAGGTGGGAATCAAAAAGGCAGTTAAAATAACAACGCTATGCAACGCGGTACTGAAAGGAAACGCGCGACCAATCATCAATTAACAGGTACCGTGCAATCCTATTCGTAACTTTAACTGTTACTAGCAACGTTTCCGAAAAATTACACTTTAGTTTTAACAGAGTAGCCTAAATACAAACATGATCAACAGCCTATCTTCTGTTTCATCAAGTACTGACTTGGAAATATTAAGTTTTCAATAAAAATAAGCTACCCAAAATAATGGTAAATATTGTGTCTAAGGCAGACTTCATCACATTTTTCTAATGTCGAATGTAACTTGGTATACTTTCTGAATGGTATTGTTGTATGCTAAGTGATTTTAATATCGTGGCTCTCTGCCTAACTGCTTCATCCTGGGGTTGGTGTGGCTGGAGGAGGGGTGTCTGAGCGGGGGGAGTTGGGTGTGGTTTAGCCTAATGTTTGTTTTTATGTCCTGGAACATCCTGGAGGAAAGTTGCAGTGCTCAGGGCCTAATTCAGACCAGTGGTTCTCAACCTTTTTGATCCAAGAACCCTCTATGTCCAGGAAAACATGTTTGAGCTCCCCTACACAGGTTATGATACTGTTCCTCTTGTATGTGTTCTGCAGTGATGACAGTTGCTAATTTTTAATAATTTAAATACATTATCCACCAAAACTTTGTTTCTCAGTTTATGACACTACTCTCAAAACAGAAGGTAAATGTTTATTAAAAAAAACAAAAAAAACAATCTAAAACCTGTCCCATATGTACGGAAGAGGATTAGGGCCACCATGAAAATATTAAAGTGGTACCTCAGTTCTCAAAATCATTAGAATTCGAATTTCATGGTTGAACCAACCAGTTCGAAAAAAATCACCTAGAGCTCGATCTGAATATCAGAAGTCAAACCGTGAACGCCGACCTATGATAACTTGTACGCACGGGGAAATGAGTCACGCGGCACATCTCTCAGTGGAAACAAAGGGTAAAGCTTCAGTCTCAGCCTCGCATTAGCTGTGATAGCACCGTCCATGTTTACACTAACTGAATACATACACTCACCTAAAGGATTATTAGGAACACCATACTAATACGGTGTTTGACCATGGGCGTAAATCCCGGGGGGGACAGAGGGGACATGTCCCCCCTATCCGAGGGTTGTCCCCCTCAAAAAAATTATTAAAAAAAAAATCGCACTCTCTATTGTGAAAAATATATGTACTTTACAAATTACTGTTTTGATAAATGTGCTTAGATGTGTTTAGTACAGTATCTGCTCTTCATTTTGTGTTTAAATTAGGACTGTCAAAATTAACGAGTTAACGCGGATTAATCCATCATCATGATTAATCTGATTTAAAAAAATTATGCAAATTACCCATCTGCAGCGCAGTCCCTGAAATATCTCTGTCAACTCATTTCGGGTAGTTTTGGTGCGCTCCATTTGTCCTGGGAACTCGTATTCCAAGTCAGATTCCTGTTTTGAAGCCGAAAGTGACAACATGCGCGGTCCCGTTTCTCGGAGATCCGAGAAATATCTCGGAGCACCACAGAAGATCCCGAGTTCAGAATCTGAGATGGCTGCGCCTTTTATCAACAGAAGGGAAAGTTGTAGTTTTATACTGTTTAAACACTACTTCTCATTTGTGGCTCATTAAATCGGTCGCACACACTGTACCGTCCAACTTATCTGTGGACGTGTTGCTACGGAGTTTTATAGGTAAAGCACCACGTGTAATATGTTATCAGCTGATATTGCTAACAATGGCAATTAACTGGGACAGAATTGGATTTCATAATTATTCGGATTATTTGTCGTATTTACGGTAGTTCGGGCTAATTGTAAGTGAACGCAGATAAAGACCATTTAAACTGAGGTACCTTAAATACGACAAGTTGTCCAGCTAAGCAAAAAATCTTGCTTTTTGATATGGGTCCATTGTATTGCACTAATGTGGCAGATGGAATGCGTGTTCAAGATGTTCAGTAAACATGTTAAGTGCATATATATTCCCTTTTTTCTTGAGTCTGTTTGCTCATGCAAAATGAAATGCGATTAATATAGATTAAAAATGAATGATATTTAATCGTGATTAATCAAAATTAATCCCCAGCAACCCTGTGATTATTCTGATCAAAAATTTTAATCGTTTAAATGCTAAAAAAAAAAAATCATATTTAGGTGTAATTTTGAAAATTGGTTTTTCCATTATTTCTAATGGGGAAAATTCTTTTTAGGATTTGATCTCGAGTTCTAAACGGATTAAATTCGAGTTCTGAAGTACCACTGTATTTGAATTCTGACTTTAAGTGCAGAATTCTGACTTTTTTTCTAAGCTCCGAATTCTGAGATTAAAGTCAGAATTCTGAGCTTAAAGTCAGAATTCTGAGAAAAAAGTCAGAATTTTGACATTAAAGTCAGAATTCAAATAATATTTTCATGGTGGCCCTAATCCTCTTCCGTACATATGTCTTGTCTCCATTTGGCCAGCAGGTGTTGCTGACCATCCTGTTCCCTCCTCTGTCTCAATCCTAAATCCCTGGTGTGTTTTCCATGTACCTCAGACCACCGCATAGCTCAATGTGTTGAGTGTGCAGCTCACAGGCTGAAGCCCTCTGGTCATGTGTTCAAGATTGGCCTGATGCCAACCTTACCTTTTGTTTATTTTCTTGGGTTTATTTTATCTTTAGCATTTGTTTGTGTAGGTCTTTGCTTTGTATCCCTGTGTATAGTCTACCCTACCCTGTGTTGTTGGTTTACATTTTGCTTGTACTTGTTTCTAGTCTTTCCTTGTGTAGTTGCCCCAGTGCTGGTTAATGTTCTTTAGTTTCCTCTGCTTGTAGATTCTAAGTATTCCACCTGTCACTTGTTGTTCCATGTCTTTCAGTCTCTGGGATTCTGTGTAATGTCACGACCGAATCTCTCACTTCTTACAACCAGGAAGGAGTACTATTCATTTCATTAAGAATCTTTAATAAAGCCCTAATTTTATTGCATACTGTATATCAATATAAACGGTATCGTTTCATCCTATTTCGTATTTTGTACTTTTTTCTATGCTTTTCAAGGAAATTGCATGGACCCCCTCAGTCCTCGCTGAGCCCCCCCCCCCCTCCGGTTGAGAACCACTGATACAGATGACTGGTGTGCTGTCAGCATTTGATAAAATACCCCCAAAGTGGGAGGAATACAGAAACTGGGGGTCACTTCTTGGACTCTGGCAGCACTGAAGATTGTGGCCCACAGGTGAGGACGTACCACTTAATGCACATTAATGCTGCATAACTCACTGCACATCCTCTTGACTTACACTGCCTTATGTGAATACAGATACAGTGTTGCCAACTCACACGCATCTGGCGTGACACTCACGCTTTCAAACTTTCACACTCATGCAAGAAATTATAAAAATGAAAGCAGCTGCATTACAAGCTGTGGGCTGTAAATATGAGTCCGTGTGTGTGGACATGTCTCGAAGTGATTATCCCACTCCAGCCTGCTGACCAAAGTAAATGTTTTTCAGCACAATCCAGATAGTGGGTTGAAAAGTGTGTATAGCTTTTGTCTGTGTATGTGACATGTTAAACTCAAAGCTTAGACTCTTAAGAGGGAAGAGGACGTGGCACTGGAAAGCACAAGGAAGTTTCCCTGGATAGGAAGTGCTCTGCAGAGCTTAATCACTCAAGTTCCCAAGGCTTCTGACCTTCTGGATTTCCTCCATCAATGTCTGTTCCTTACAGCACATGGATAAGGAGATACAAGTGGACAGGGAGATAAACAGACTGGAAAAAGTGAGAATGATCATGTGGTCCCCATACCATCTCCAGGTGGCCCTGTGGTGTCTGCAGACTTACAGTGATCAGAGTACCTTGCCATTCAGCCTCACCCATTAGCACAGCTGTAGTAGAGAACCATGTTTCTGACTGAGCATTCAGAGGAGAATGTCCACATGCAGGTGATTAGTAATGTACAAACATGCAGCTGCCTTGTTCTTTTATAGCTTTTCTAAGTAAGTCTTTGCTACCGTGTGCTTGTTTGCTTTTTGCGGACCGCCCATCAGTCACAGATGACTGGAGCTGTGAGGAGCAGTTGATGTCCGCCAACACGTAATGGAACCTGACAGACCTGCGAGCCAAACCCGTGTGGCATCGCCGGGCAAAAGGAGTCGGGACAAAGGGGGGTAAGGCTCAGACCTTACCTGCCTTCTGTCATCATGACAAATTCTCCAGCTCTGGAAGATATTTTGGAGGTTCCACTGCCAAGGGTTGAGCACTCCAACATGTTTAAAGAACGTTAAAGAACCAGTTGCTCACACTTCTATCTTCATGAAGACCTTTGAGAAGCTGGTACTGAAGCATCTTCGATTCCTGGTCACAGACCACCTGGATCCGCTGCAGTTTGCTTATCAGGTACATTTAGGTACAGGTGATGCTCTGATCTGCATGCTCCATGGACCCTAATCCCACCTGGACAAATAACCCAACACAGTCAGGATCATGCTCACAACTCTGGAAATGCCTGCCATCCCACCTCTCAGTACATCTCAAGCTCAAGACATGATGGATGATGGACTGCCTGAGCAACAGACAGACGGCAGTTTGTGAAGCTGTCAGAGCAACACTTGAGCTCCTCAGAAAATCACCCTGTCTCACTTCCTGTTCAGTGTCTGTATGGCAGACTTCCAGTTAATCATGCCATCTGCAGATGTTCTCCGATGATATGTTGAGAAAACGAAATGTCGATTTGGCTTTTTGGGAGTTTACAGCATACTCACAGGCTATTATTGATATCTTGAAGTGTTGTTTTTTTTTAGCAGTGATTTATGTCTAAAGCGATGTGCAAGGGAGCATCAGAAAGCAGGGTCAAGCAATCTCTCTAGCGATTGGGGTTAAGGGCCTTGCTCAAGGGCGTAATAGTGAAATCACTCAGTCAATCACTGCAATGGGATTTGAACTGGTGACTTTCTGATCGTGGACATTGGGTCCGGACCTACAGAGGCACACCCCATCCTGTGGGGACATTACAGAAGTGATTATAATTCTGGCCTTAGGGCTCTCAGTCTTTCATTAGCAAGGAGTAATTGGAGCCTGTGGACAAAGTGCTCAAAGAGGGCTGCGAGAACAAACAGTTCCGGGAGGCTCTCATTAGCCGGTGAAAGTAACGTGAAATTGCATTTGTGTAATTAGCTTTGAATTTGTTTTTAAACTTGTGTTCTGCACATGGATGTGTTTACCTGAAGTGATATTTTCATGTCAGGTTTTTTGGATAATTGCCATTCACGTTTTAAAGCTGAAATGACAGTGACTCGTATATAATTATGTTGAGCAATTATATATTGTGTTTTTTGTGTGTACTGCAAAAAAATATTGTCAGGAACTTCGAGTCAAATCTTGACAGGCCTAGTAGTTTGCGGAATTCTTCTGGATGTTCTGTTTATTCGCTCGTCGCATTCATCATTCACTTTATGGTACAAATTTTACTAGGCATCCTAATATCCATGACATCGCACATCAGTGATGATGAGCGCCCTTGTACTTTGTGTTGTGGGTGGGTGTGCTGGACAATAAATCATGTTACACACCCCTGCCGATTCAGAGTGTTATTATTCCTTTAAATCAGAGCTAGATAAGATTTTAACAACTCTGAGTTATTAGTTAAGTTCTCCCCAAACGAGCTTGATGGGCCGAATGGCCTCCTCTCGTTTGTAAATTTCTTATGTTCTTATGTTCTTATGTTCTAATCC